ATTAGAGACAACAGCTGGTCGGCTAATCGAGGGGACTTGGAATTCCGAGCACCTCGTTCTTTTTAGGCATTAGCCTATTTTTTGTATTTTCTAGACGAAGTGGGGGCTCGACCTGCGGGTTAGTCTCGGTCGTCATTTCTATGTAAATTTTATGGTTGTAAAATTAATTCAACCGCCTGCGAGCGAGAAAGTTTAATGTATATACGATCGATGATTGCTCGACCGTTTGCATGCGGCGGCCCGATCGGTTATTTTCTTTTACCTTCGTTACAAGCAGATCAGTTTAACATTCATCAACCGGGCGAAATCTACCGACCGGTCAAAACGCGCTCCACATTGGCGGACACTTAAGTCACGCCGCTGATCGGGGAAGCCAGGAGTTCTCAGCATTATTCCCCGATCCGTCTAACTTCTGTCCACTATCGCACCCACTCGTGCCTCGAGCGCACAATAGTGTGGGGGCTGGGATAAGGAAGTATTCGCAGGCCCGTCGCTCGGTTACATCCCGACCGTAGAGGCTTGCTTTCAAAAATTTTTCGACAAAGGCCCGGGGATCGGGTACACCCGATCGGTTGGCCAGATTTGACGTCGAAATATCAAACGCACGACCAGGCCATAAGGTCGTAAGGTCGGGCGTCGAGTGGGTCGAACCAGTACAAGATCGGGCCACAAGGCCGCGAGGTCGAGCATTAAGGATCAGCACTTACGCAATTAAAGATAAAAGTGCGAAAAGAAAGAACGAATAACACGAGTTAGAGCAAAAACAAATTTTATTAACAAACAAAAAGTTGCCCGGTACAATTCGGGACCGGGCTCCCGATCAATGGTCCTTTACAAAAAGAAGAAGAAGAAAGGAGCCTATTCTACTTCTTCATCTCCCGAGCTCCGGCAGCCGGTTCCTTTCCGCTCGGGTGGCCGCCGTTGATGCCCCGGCTTCAGACGCCTTGGCTTTTGGGGCGAAGGGAGAGGGACCGGGATCGGCTAGGTCCGGGGGTAATACCGAGAGGACCAGCTGAAGGTCTTCCCCGTCTAGAGCCTTCTCCAACCGGGAACGGACTCGTTCAAGCATCTTCCGTTTCCCGGCCGTAAAGCCCCAGCGACCGAACGAGACGATCAGCTCTTCCCCGATCTCTGTTCCCCGGGCTGCTGTAAGGAAGGCCGAGCCCGAGTCCTTGTCTTTGAAGGCTGCCCGCGCCAGCTCGCTCGGATTCTCGAGCTGAGCCTTCAGCTCCTTGGCCTCTCCAATCGCCCGACTGGCGACCTTCTCGGCGAGGACCCGCTCCTCGTCGCCCTTCTTCAGGGCCTTTTGCGCCTTCTCCAGCTCGGCCTGGAGCTCCTTGATCTCCTTCAGATGACGAGCGGCCGTCTTCTTATGATGATCAGCTTCCTCGGCCAGCATAGCCTGACCTTGAAGGAGTTGGGTCGCCCGGGAGATCTGCAGTACAAAAGGATATCCAGGGTTAGCCCGATCAAAGTACATTAGCAAGAAAGCTGTTAGTTGAGAAAAGCTCACCTCAGCCAGGTCGTGGCCGATCCGTTCAGCCACCTGGGTCGGGGTCATCTTCCCCAGATCCACTCGGGCTGGCGCGGCGTTGCCGATCCGTGCCAGCACGGACGTAGACTCCCTCTCTCGCCCGACCGAAGGGCTCGGGCTGTGTTGGTCACGGCGGCGCTTCAAGCTGCCCACCTCGGTCGCGCCCTGGTCGGCGACCTTCTCCTTGCCCCGGGCGACCTCTACCCGGGTAACCAGGACGTCAGGCTGCTCAACGACGAAGCCCTCGCCCGTCGTCACGGTCGAGGCGCTCAGGGGTCGGGCAGTGGGAATCTCCTTTTCCCCGGCCGCTTTGGTCTTGGCCTTCTTCTTCCCGCCGAGGGAGATCTTGGCGGGCGGGGGAAGGGCGGTGTCTTCATCACCAAATTCTGCCATGGCTGCAATAAAAAGAGCTAAGTTAGTTTGATCAAGAAATGAAGCTAGGTCGGGAGGAACAGCTCGAGCTAAACCTTTCTTCTTCCGTTTCGACGGCTTGGCGACCGTCACGCCCATCGGTACGGGAAGGTACTTCTCCTTTAGCTCGTACGTGGGGGGCGGGAGCTTGGCGGCTGCGAGACTCTCGGCTGTCCGGAAGATGGAGTACTCGTGTATTTCACTCGAGATCCGAGTGACCGTCTCCTTGAGCGCCTGAGTCGCGGCCGGCACCACTTGCTTTCTGAAGTGGCTGCTCCAAGTGCGATCAACCGGGAGGATCCAGGGGTCGTATTTGATGGAGAAAATTCTGTTCTTCCACCCCTTGTTGTTCCCGGGCAGGCCTTTGATGGAGCACATATCTGCTCGGGATTGCAGCATCAGGAACCCACCCCCGTAGCGGCCCGGGAGAACCTTGATCTGGTAGATGAAGTTGAACAACTCCATCGTGCACTTGGCCTCGTGCCGAGTGCATATCTGCGGGAAGCAGGCGAGGATCCGATGTGCGTTCGGGCAGATTTGAGCCGGAACGACCCGGTAGTACGCTAAAAAGGCCGTCAAGAGGGCCGGGAAGGGAATGGCAATCGGGGCCATTAGGGAGTCGTAATGCATCCCGATCCACTTGCCCCGATGCCTGTCAATCACGTTCCCCAGCTGCCGGCTCGTGTCGAATTCAACCCGACCCCGGAGTACTTCAGCAATCCGAGCCGCTTCGCCTTTGGTCAGCAGGCTCATTTCTTGCTCGACACTCTCGCTGTTCAAGAATTCGAGCTCGACGGCTGGTGTGGCCGGCCCGGCCGGGTCTTCTTCGGTCTGCTCGGGGGTATTTTCCCGATCCCCCCTCGAGGAGCAGCTTCCGGGTAGTCCCCAACCACCCGGGTAGGCGTTTCCCTAACGCCCTCGGTCGGAGAACCCCGCCCGCTTGACGTGGTTCTCTCTTCCTCTTCTTCGCTGGAGCTCCCCGATCCGCTGGAGCTAGAGCTCGATGTCCCAGAGGAGCTTGATGCGTTGTTATGCTTGACGGCTCGCTCAGGGGCTGGCGTTGCTCGGGGGCTGGCTTCAGGAGTGCAGGACATAATGTCCACTTCCTCGTCGCTGATGTACTCGACCTCCTCGTCATAGTCCGCGATCGAGGCGTTTTGACTATCCGAGTCCGACATAATTCTACCTAAAGGTCGGTCGGGAGTTAGTATAGGGTTCGGGGAGTTAGCTCGAAGTTAGTGCTATCCTACTTCTACGCCAAGTGAAGAATAGAGAAAGAGTAAAGAACTAGGAGCTTACCGAGTGAAGAAACTTGGAAGAGGATCTGAAGTTTCGCTTTGCTTGATCGCCTTGCTGAGATGCTCTGCTCGGGATTCTTAGAGGATACCGACTGAAGCAAAAGAGTGAGGAAAGTTCAAATGAGGGCCTCAAGGGCCTATTTATAGGAGGGCATTTAGGCGGGAAATGGGCCAACTTGCCTGACACGACCCGCGCTGAATCCGAGGCGACGGATGGGATCGCCGAGGCCGGCAGAGGCCGACACGTGGCGTAGGAGGGAATGACAGCTGGCAGGTCGGCTTGGTGGCTGACGGTTGGGCTTCTTCATCCCATCCCGTTTTTTCCCGACTGATCAAAAAGGCCCGGGCTGGGGGGCTCTTGGTAGGGAATATCCCGACCGACATAGCTTCACCACGACCGAGGAGCCTTTGTCTCTTTCTCCTTGTCTTTGCAGGTAACAGGTCGGGCTCCACGAGAAGAACCCGGTCGTAGACCGACCAGAGTTGCCCGAGCAACGGTGTCGACCACCGAGCGGTAGCCCTTTGGCGAAAGAGCTGACGAAGGACACGTGGCGGCTCTTTACATCGACAGGCAGGGCACCCGGGAGGATGACACGTGGTGGCTACGTGGAGGACATGCCGAACGGCTGGAATCCTGTCCCCGGCATAGCGGCTATAAATACCCACAGTAGCTACAGTGTAAGGGACTTTTGGGACGATCGATAGGTTGTTATTAGAGAATCCCGACCGCACTCAGTCGGTACTCAGAGCAACCAAGTAGATTGTACTTAGGGCCTTTACCGTGATCAATAAAGATTTTACTTGCTTTAATTGGTCTCGTGTTATTCTATATTGCTTACCCATAATTAGCAGTATCAGTTCTATAATTATAAACATAGAGTTCAGTAATTATGAACATAAATTTTCTGAAGACAAATGTCGTTAACGACGAAAGAAAGAATTATTATTTTTAAATTAACATGACGACACGACGTAATTTTCCACCAAAACGACGCCGTTTTGGAACCATGTCCACCTTGCAAGATGGATACGGTTCCACAACATAATTTGCCCAGACAACGGAGACAAGTGAGACAACCAGTCTCGACCAGTTTATGGTTATGGGCCAAGGCCTAATTCATATTGAGCCTTGCTTCACTAACTCCCCTAAACCGGTAAAATTGTTCAATTAAGTCCAAAATGACTTGTTTATCAGGTTAAATTTATGTGTTGACACGCGTCTTTTATATTTTAATTTTTTTAATAAATTTATTTTTATTTACTAAAAGTACAAATATTATATAAAAAATAAAAAAAAAAAAACTGTTCTTGGCTGTCCGGAGAGGACAGTCACGTCGTCTAAGGAACACGGCCATGGCCGCCGTCCTCATTCCAGAGGGTCATGGCTGTGTATTGGGTACGGTTCAAAATGCAACCATTAACCTTGTTTTCATTAAAAAAAAAAAAAATTTACATCGTTTTGGTACCATGACCAATTGTATAACTGTAAATTCTAGGCCGGTCAACTCATATAACTCGCTTAGTTTGTGGGTCTCTGGGCCTACACCCAAACTCTATTGATTGCATGAAACTCATTTATCATTCTTATTTGCAATTTCAATTAATCTTTTCTTATTTACCCAAATCTATTCACCGCTTTTGATGTATATTGGCACTTCCAGAAATGAATGCCTCGTTTTCTTTACCTTGCTGCTAATGTTTCTTCAAGCAAACAATAGTCATTGCATATATGTTGAATTTAAAAGCAAGAAAACATGTAAATGAAACACACTTAAGTACGAAATTCAAAGATGAGTAGTACAGATGATGAATGATCTGAGTCCTAACACACTGCACGTAGAGAACATCGTGCATCCATTCGTTCAAGACCGGAATATATAGTGAATGTATCAATCATAAGTGTAAATAATCTGAGAATCCTGGAGAATATGTGTGTGCGCACGCTCAAGCAAGCCTTCAAGAAATCATGGCTTCTTAAGCAGCTCTGGTTTTGGAATTTCTGGGAATTCAGGCTTTGGGAATGTTGGAAACTCTGGTTTTGGTATTTCTGGGACTTCAAGCTTTGGGAATGTTGGAAACTCTGGTTTTGGGATTTCTGGGACTTCAAGCTTTGGTAATGTTGGAAGCTCTGGTTTTGGGATTTCTGGGATTTCAGGCTTGGGGAACGTTGGTAGCTCTGGTTTTGGGATTTCTGGGATTTCAGGCTTTGGGAATGTTGGTAGCTCTGGTTTTGGAATTTCTGGCAGCTCAGGCTTTGGCAATGTTGGGATTTCAGGCAATGTGATCTCCATAAGGTTTCTGGCCTCGATTTGTACGAAAGCCGGTGACAGAGTGATCAAGAAAAGCAGGAGAAAGGATGGGTTGAGATGATGAGCCATTCTTGGTGAAGATGTTTTGTTTCTATTTCTAGCTTGGATTAGAGAGTTATGGTCTGGGGTTGTATTTGGGCAAGCTTATATAGAAAGGAGAGCAGGAAGAAACATTGAGATTAGTTGGTAGGAAGAACAATATGTTGGTTCAACTTCTCAACAACACTCATCTGAAATAGACAAATAGTCCAGGTAGCTTTGAAGCCAGCTGGATTTTCTTGAATACCTTTCAAGCTTCTTTATCAAGGAACACAAATATTTTCCCAGCCATTGCCATTCTTGTTTGAGCTGTTAGGAAAACATATGATTTATTTTCCCAGCCATTGTCATTGACCCGGTTCTAGCATCATATCGTGTATGACGACCATGATAATTTGTTACTACCTCCCATTTTGAGGCCGGTGCATAATGAGAAAGAATTATTTGGAAGAAGGCTACTGGACTGGTTCAAAAAGAATTAAGAAGAATTTGGACTAAAAGCTATTTAGATTAGAGTTGTCAGTCCATAAGTTGGCCAGAGGAAGCGACCTAAGAAAGGGTTTCGTTGTCTGGTGTTTGATAAGGTTCTAAGTGAAACCATTCGATCCAAAGATGAAAAAAGACTACGTGGTGCCAAAAGGAGTCTGGAGTGCAAACGGTTTAGAGTGGGATGCAACAAACATTGACTTCTTAAAAGGCGGACAATAATTATTTTACATATCAGTTTTTCAAAAGATTTTGGAGCTAGTGATATTTGATTTGATATTAAACTTCTACTCATGAGCTAGTTTTTCTAGAACTGACCAATGGATCCATTATATATATTCATCCCATCTTTATTTTAATTAGATTTTGTTAATTCAATGAAGTTTTGTTTTAATTTGCTCTAAAAAAAATGAAAGCTAATCTTGTTCCAACTAATTAATGTTTCTTGAAGCAAACCATATAGTGTTTGCGGGCATAAAATCGTAGAATGATAGATATGAAGATGTATATATATAAGTGGCTCGCCGTTTATTCCAATATTATTACGTGCGTACGGTACGGACTACAGAGGGGCATAGAAAGTAAAATAAGGAAAATATTATATGTAGTAGAGAGGGATACTTATATAAAGCAAAGGGATCGGAGAAGATGATAATATATAGTGAGTATTTGAGACGATATAGGGCGGCCGGCAAGCCATGGAGCTTAGCTCAAATGCGGTACGGTCCTCCATCGTTTATGGTAGCCGCGGGAACAGCGGGATTGTCACCGGAGGCACCAGTGATGGCAGCGGCGGAAGACGCACTGGAGGCAGTACTGGAAGACGCAGTGGAGGAAGAGGAAGAGGAAGAGGAAGAGGAAGAGTCACTGGAGGCACTAATGGAAGACGCACTGGAGGCACTGATGGCAGCGGCGGAAGACTCGCTGGAGGAAGAGTCACTGAAGGCACTGATGGCAGCGGCGGGATGTTCACCGGAGGCAGTGATGGCAGCGGCGGGATGTTCACCGGAGGCAGTGATGGCAGCGGCGGAATGCTCACCGGAGTCACTGATGGCAGCGGCGGGATGTTCACCGGAGGCAGTACTGATGGCAGCGGCGGGATGTTCACCGGAGGCAGTACTGATGGCAGCGGCGGAAGAATCACTACTGGGGGAGGCGGGGGTGGCGGAGGTGGCGGAGGAGGGGGTGGGTTCCGAGGGTTGAGGTTTAAGAGACTACGAGCTTCTGCCACCACGATGCTGCCGGCGACAGACGCCATTAGGATCAGCAGAATTGGCAGTAAACGCGGGAATGGCACACTTTTTTGGTGCGCCATGTTTGGAATGAGTTGTAGTGGTGACTGGTGAATGAATGCATGCATGGGTTTTTATAGATGTTGACGTTAGCTGAGGAAGCCATGAGAAATTAATTTTCTTTAAATTTAAGAAAAAAGTGTAAAATAGTTCACTAAAATTATACTCCTAGTTTTTATGTAATTAGATTATATATATATTAAACTTAAAAAATATGCAATTAAATCTTACCCAAGAAAATATTTTCAATTGTGATTTCTTTAAAAAAAATTCAATAAAATTAGATTAAATTAATTACATGGGCGGATAGGATAACATGGTATGTACTAAGAATCACTTTTTCTTAAATTATATTAGTTGAGATGAAAGATTGAAATATTTTTAATTTAAATTGCAATAAAAGAAATCATATAAATATCTCAATTGCACATATTTTACTTGTTTGATGTAAAATTGCACACTTTTTAAATTCAATAATTCAATTGCACAAAAAGTAAGCCCAGTGACATATTTGATACTTGTTCCGAAAATTAATTAAAATAGAAATAATCCACACTAGTTAGGTGTGCAATGAGCGAAGTTGCTCGTGAGCGACAATCGATGATTCCTTGTGAATTCGACGGTTGACGACAAATAAATCTAGCAAAAGACAATATAATGAATTGAAGCCAAGCCCCGAGGCTAACGACGATGAAGGCTTGAAATCTGCGTACAGAGTGATGAGTGATTGACGAGCCAATCTAGTTGATCTCAAACATTAGAGCCAATCGAGCTGAATTCGCATTTCAATTTTAAGGTTTGATTAAGTTCGTGTTCAACTCGACTCATTTACAGGCCTAACTCATACCCATATAGCTAATTTTGTAAATTATATTGTGTATCAATTTATCATACACATTGTAAATTACAAAACAAATTATGTATATGCAGTTAATATATTAGGTACAAAATTTAATATTATTGTTCGAAATTCATGATATGTGAATGTAGGGAAATAAAATGAGTTACATAATATCTTAACAACAAATATAATATCCGGGCTAAGGTCTATAATGTACATGATGAATTCGATCACGATAAAACGAAATTGTTATTGGGTTTCTCCCAATTAATTCAAAGGAAGAAATTTTGCACGATTCATAATTGAGTTTGTTCTGTATGGACCGACATATATGGTTAAATCGCCATCTAATTAAATCCTATGTTTATAGTAAAATTAATATATATAAATGCATCACATATGTTAAGTGGGGATATTATTGACTTTTTGTATAACGAATACTAATAAATTTATTTAACTTGATAATGAAAGTTGTTTCACCCAAAAAAACAAAAAAAAAAACAAAAAACAAAAAAATACTAATACTTAAAATGATCATTCGATTATGTATAATTCTTAATTTGACCATCAACTATTAATTCATTAAAAAAATAATTTCAAATATTTGTTTTAAAAGGGGTGGGTGGAGCATGAGTTCATATATACCTAATGATTACAAGTTCAACTTTTGTCAACACCTTCTTAGTCGCTTATTCGACAAGATCTTCTTAGTACAGTTTCTTTCTTTCGTGTGATTCATTGACTATTATACATGTGTATGGTTTATCTAATGCACACTGATGGTAAATATGTTATAGATAATATTTGGAAAGGAATTAGAGTTGTATTGCTTAGAGTGTTGATTACAAGAATTAGAGCATGTCCTTGGCAACCCAATGGAATAGCTCAAGTGACAAATGAGCTCAAGAATTAGAGCATGTCCTTGGCAACCCAATGGGATAGCTCAAGTGACAAATGAGCTCTCTTTGTAGTCGAGATTTTCAGGATAATTTGAATTTGATTCCCTGGTCCGTTAAACGGACAGACCCAGACCACCTCGATTTTACACCACAAAAAAAAAAAAAAAAAAAAAAAACCAAAAACAAAAACAAAAACGAAACAAAACAAAACAAAAACAAAAAAAAAAAAAAAAAAAAACAAAAAACCATGGTTTCCTACTTATACTAAATTAAAAAAGATTTACTCAATTTTATCATCTGATGTACTAAAATGAGTAAATTCTTTTTATAGTTAAAGAATATTTTAGATAAATTGATAGTCAATGACTATTTTTTTTTTTTTTTTTTGGAGGGAAAGGAGGGGGACACCTAGGAATCATTATGTGATTCTCACAGAATGCTCAGCACCCAAGAAGCCCAGTTCATCTTCACGCAGGACTCTTAACATCGCGGTAGGTATAGTCAATGACTAAATTAAAAACTATATATACTCAAGAGGGCTTTTTTATTTTTTTTGAAAGGAAAATAACTTCATTAAAATCAAGCAATAAGATATTCAATACAAGCTGGAATAGTAGAAAAATAAGAAAGATGACCAGGTTGAGAACAAGCAACTCCGGCTAACACATGAGCAAGCTTATTCGCTGATTGATTCACATACTGAATGGACACCGTTTCAAAGTGTCGTTTTAAGATTCAACACTGATTGAAGATACAACCTACATAAAAATAGTCCGATAAATCATTATTGAGAAATCTGCAAACCATCTGACAATCCGATCTCAACACAATATTAGACCAGCCTTATTCAAGAGCCCAAAAAAGTGCTTTCTTCATGGCTATAGTTTCCGCTAAATGAGGATCTTTAGAAGGCATTTTTTGGTATATATTATCTTTAAAAAAAAAAAAAAAAAAAAGTCAAATGGGTTGAAGGAATAAAGAAACCAAGTTAGGCAGCCGGCTGCCATTATGGAATTTTATGGCTTGAATAATTAATTTTGGGTAAATTATACATGGATCACGATCTACCTTACATTGTGAATTTTAATCCAAAATAATTTTCCAATTATGTGTTTGCATTTGACATATTTTCTACATATCATTACAGTTTATGCGTGTTTGTAAATAAATTAAAGCTACATAACACTTTACCTACAAACACATAATATGTTAACCAACAAAAATATTATGTGTTTGCATTTAACATATTATGTGTGTAATTACCATGTTATGTATTTTGTAATTAATCTGTTATGTAAATTCAATTTATTTATAAACACATAAATGGTTAATTACAAATATATAATATGTCAACAGTAAATAAATACATAAATTTGGGACGAATGTCTAGAGTGCAACATGGATCATGGTCCATCATAAAACAATTGCTTAATTTGGTGTCATTCTTTGTCAACTATGACAAGTTGTGTAATTAATTAAGTTGAATTCACATATTTAAAAATAGTTATGTCATGGACCGACCACTTTACAATGTGAACTATTATCCAACTACAGTTTTATACGGAGTAATTATGAACTAGTTTTTTACGCGCATTGCGCGATTGGGATAATGCCCAATGCTTTTTTTTTTTAAATAAGTACTTTAAAGTATATTAAGACAGGATTATATTGAAATTGTTCATGCATAGATAATTGAAGGTTGAATTTGCGTATTTAAATAGGTAATTTTTCTCCCAAAGGTTGAGTCCCCAACCCCAAGGACCCCCCACACTCTGACCCGACAGAGCATTGTGGGAAGTTGTAAATCACGGTGACTCAATGGTTCAGCAGACAGGGCCAAATGCTGATACGCACAAGGAATCTGCCCACTTTGGACATAATTCCCGCACTGCCGCCGCCGAGGTTCAAACCTTCGTCTCTTCTCCCAAATACTACCCACTAAACCATTGAGCTATGCCCGTGCGGGTTAAATAGGTAACTCTAAGTTTACAAATGCAAGACAATATAGTCAAGATTGATTATAATTGTCAATAAAATAATTGTATAGGTATGGTTGAAACCAAATACGAGACATAAGGGAGAACAAATAAAAATTATGACATAAAATATTAAATATATACTAATATTGTTTGAGGAGATTCCGACATTAGGATTTGTGGTTAAGTTCAATTAAGACTTTAATATTAGAATTAGATTAATGGTGTAGTTATAATTCTATATTAGACTTTAATATTAGAATTAGACTAACGGTGAATTAACGGAAAAGTTAAATGGATAATCATATAATTAAAGATAAATAAGAAAATCTTAAAAGAAAAAATTAAAACCTGAACAATATGAACCATTCATTTGCTTTAATAATTTGGCGGTCATTTTTTCTACCCAATATTAATAATTAAATAAATTCGTTGGTCAAATCCGCTAGTATAATCCGCTAACGTTAACTGCTAACTGCTGATTGTCAAACAAGGACATTGCGAGGTAGTTCCCACTTCAATTTGTTGTGTGATTTGAATACTCTCGTTGTCACAAAATCTCTCAAGTAGTTAATATGGTTGGCTTTATTAATTATATTTTTAAAATTTTTTCATGGTATTAATAAAATACTTGGTAAATAAATATATAGCATTATTTTGTATTATAACTTTGATATTTAATTAGAAAAATAGTGCACAAAAAAGATAATAGATAATGTAGTGAATATAATCAATTGATGAATTTGAATGTAAAAATTTTTACATTTGAGAAAAATAAAGACAATATAACTAATGAAAATATTTCTTTTAATTAATTTATTGATAATTAATAAAAAAAAAATTTTGAATAAAGGCATTGTGGACACATAATTCTAAATTAAAGAAATGCATATGTATTATTTTTTGTTGTAACTACTAAATTATTATTTATATATAATTTAATAAGAGTAAAATAGAGTATTAATTATGCCAACTTTGATTGGGATGGGGTTCGAACCTAAGGCCTTTTTTTTATTGAAATCAATGAGTTAACGGAAATTCTTAAAATTTTAACGGAATTAGTAACGGTGTGTGGGTATTTTATGAAATTTTAGTGTAAAATTTAAATCTGATCAATCTTTTAATTAATCTGAGCCATTCATTTGATTAAAATATGTGACCGCCATTTTTTCTACCCATTATAGGCCTAACTCTCTTGGGCTCTTATTAGTATATATATATATATATATATATATATATATATATATATATATATATATATATATATATATATATATAGTAGATAATTAATAAAAAAATTTGTTGAATAAAGGCATTGTGGACACATAATTCTAAATTAAAGAAATGCATATGTATTATTTTTTGTTGTAACTACTAAATTATTATTTATATATAATTTAATAAGAGTAAAATAGAGTACTAATTATGCCAACTTTGATTGGGATGGGATTCGAACCTAAGACCTTTTTTTTATTGAAATCAATGAGTAAGTTAACGGTGAACTAACGGAAATTCTTAAAATTTTAACGGAATTAGTAACGGTGTGTGGATATTTTAGGAAATTTTAGTGTAAAATTTAAATCTGATCAATCTTTTAATTAATCTGAGCCATTCATTTGATTAAAATATGTGACCGCCATTTTTTCTACCCATTATAGGCCTAACTCTCTTGGGCTCTTATTAGTATAGTAGAATATAGAGTAAAACGACGTCGTTTTTAGGGAATAACGACGACATTCCAGTTTTTTTAAAAAAAAATTAATTGAGTTAATACTCAAAATCGTCTTCGACTATAGTGGTTTTTCTCAATTTCATCCTAAACGACTTTGGTGACCTAATATCGTCCCAGACTTTTGTGTTTCGCTCAATTTAGTCCTCCATTTGTTATTCCGTCAAATTGGTGTTAAATAAATGGACAATTCAGTAATGTCAATATTGATCTCTCTTTACTTTCAACTTGTGAAGTGCGAAATTCCTCTTTCTTGTACGAACTACACCCAGAATTACTCCCGGACCTGCAAATCAAATTTTATATTCGCAGTTTTAGGAGTAATTCTGGGAGTAATTCGTAAAAAAAAAAAAAAAAAAAAAAAAAAGGATTTCGCAGTTCACATGTCTATGATTAAAGAGATGCCAATATTAAAATTACTGAATTGTCTATTTATTTAACACCAAATAGACAGAATAACAAATGAAGGACTAAATTGAGCAAAAACACAAAAGTCTGGGACTAAATTGAGCGAAACACAAAAGTCTGGGACGATATTAGGTCACCAAAGTCGTTTAGGACGAAATTGAGAAAAATCACTTTAGTCGAGGACGATTTTGGGTATTAACTCAAAATTAATTTTGTCTCGCTATTAACGGCGTTATTCGTTTGTGGAATTATGAATATATAGTTATGGAATTATGAATGTACAGTTATGGAATTATGAACACAGAGCTCTGACATTATGAACTTACAATTATGAACATAGAGCTCTAAAATTGTGAACATAGAGCTACACAAATTATGAATTTACAGTTATTGAATTATGAATGTACAGTTACAGAATTATGAATGTACAATTATGGAATTATGAATGTACAGTTATGGAATTATGAACATAGAGCTCTGACATTATGAACTTACAATTATGAACGTATAGTGATAAATTTATGAACATAGAGCTCTAAAATTGTGAACATAGAGCTTCGACAATTATGAATTTATAGTTATTGAATTATGAATGTACAGTTATGGAAGTATGAATGTACATTTATGGAATTATGAACACAAAGCTCTGACATTATGAACTTGCAATTATAAACATATAGTGATAAAATTATGAACATATGCTTCTATAATGAACTGGTCTGAAATTAAAAAATATAAAATATAAAATAAAATGGTGGAAGATAGCGGTGCCACTAACAGCACCGTTACCGTGTCCACAATGTATGCTGGACACGAGTCCATAGCATAACGATTGCCAGACAAGTGAGACAACCAGTCTCGACCAGTTTCTGGTTATGGGCCAAGGCCTAATTGATATTGAGCCTTGCTTCACTAAACTGGGTCGTTATGCTGTGCATCCGTATGCACCATGCATGGTGCATCTGGATACAAAAACGACGTCGTTTTGACATCTAACTTAAAAAAAAAATAATAATAAATAAATAAATAAATCAGAATTGCATAATTACACATCCATAATTTCATCACATCTATAATTTCATAACTATACATCCAGAATTACATAACTACACATCCATAATTTCATAACTATAAATCCATAATTGCATAACTACAAATCCATAACTTCATAACTATACATCCAGAATTGCATAACTACACATCCATAACTTCATAACTATAAATCCAGAATTGTATAACTACACATCCTAACTTCATAACTACACATCCAGAATTGCATAACTATACATCCAGAATTGCATAACTATACATTCAGAATTTCATAACTAAAAATCCAGAATGAATGAACTAAAAAATGAATAACATAGTGTTGTTACTGGGAATCGAAACTGATTTTTTTTTAAGTAGGACGCGCGTTTTGATGCAAAACGACGTTGTTTTTGCCAATATTTAAGACGTTTTTTCATATATATGTATGTATATGAAAAAAAAAAGTGTCAACTTAACCCCCTAAGTGAATTGGATAGTGTAATTGGGTCCAAAGTTTCATTCAAGTCCCCTAAATCGGTAAAATTGTTCAATTAAGTCTTAAATAACTTGTTTATCATGTTAAATCTATGTAGTGTTGACAGGTCTTTTATATTTTAATTTTTTTTAAACAAATTTATTTTTATTTACTAAAATTACAAATATTATTTAAAAAAAAAAAAAACAGTTAGTGGCTGTCCGAAGAAGATAATCACGACTGTCTAAGAAAGAAGACGGCCATGGCCACCAAAGGAAGACAATAATGGCCGCCTAAGGAAGACGATCATAGCCGTCTTCTAGATCTGTTGGAACGAGAGCGGCAGCCATGGCCGCCGCACTCGTTCCGGATGGTCATGGTTATCTATTGGGCACGGTTCAAAATGCAAACATTGCCTTTTTCTTCATTCAAAATAAAAAATGGCATCGTTTTAGTTCCATGATCGATTGTATAACTTTAAATTCTAGACGGGTCCACTCATATAACTCACTTAGTTTGTGGGTCCCGGCCCAATTTACTCTAGGCCTACACCCAAACTCTATTGATAGCATGAAACTCATTTTTTTTTTTTGAAAGGGCATGAAACTCATTTATCATTCTTATTTGCAATTTCAATTAATCTTTTCTTATTTACCCAAATCTATTGACTGCTTTTGATGTATATTGGCACTTCCAGAAATGAATGCCTCGTTTTCTTTACCTTGCTGCTAATGTTTCTTCAAGCAAACAATAGTCATTGCATAGATGTTGAATTTAACAGCAAGAAAACATGTAAGTGAAACACACTCAAAGTACGAAATTCAAAGATGAGTAGTACAGATGATGAATGATCTGAGTCCTAACACACTGCACATAGAGAACATCGTGCATCCATTCGTTCAAGACGGGAATATATAGTGAATGTATCAATCATAAGTGTAAATAATCTGAGAATCCTGGAGAATATGTGTGTGCGCACGCTCAAGCAAGCCTTCAAGAAATCATGGCTTCTTTGGCAGCTCTGGTTTTGGAATTTCTGGGAATTCAAGCTTTGGGAATGTTGGAAACTCTGGTTTTGGGATTTCTGGGACTTCAAGCTTTGGGAATGTTGGAAACTCTGGTTTTGGGATTTCTGGGACTTCAAGCTTTGGTAATGTTGGAAGCCCTGGTTTTGGGATTTCTGGGATTTCAGGCTTGGGGAATGTTGGTAGCTCTGGTTTTGGGATTTCTGGGATTTCAGGCTTTGGGAATGTTGGTAGCTCTGGTTTTGGAATTTCTGGCAGCTCAGGCTTTGGCAATGTTGGGATTTCAGGCAATGTGATCTCCATAAGGTTTCTGGCCTCGATTTGTACGAAAGCCGGTGACAGAGTGATCAAGAAAAGCAGGAGAAAGGATGGGTTGAGATGATGAGCCATTCTTGGTGAAGATGTTTTGTTTCTATTTCTAGCTTGGATTAGAGAGTTATGGTCTGGGGTTGTATTTGGGCAAGCTTATATAGAAAGGAGAGCAGGAAGAAACATTGAGATTAGTTGGTAGGAAGAACAATATGTTGGTTCAACTTCTCAACAACACTCATCTGAAATAGACAAATAGTCCAGGTAGCTTTGAAGCCAGCTGGATTTTCTTGAATACCTTTCAAGCTTCTTTATCAAGGAACACAAATATTTTCCCAGCCATTGCCATTCTTGTTTGAGCTGTAAGGAAAACATATTATTTATTAATTACAAATAATACATCTCATACTTGATGAAGTATATTACTACATTCAACTTGATATTACACACTGAGATTCTGCATTACATGGAATGAGACCACAGTTTTTTTTTTTTTTGCAGAGTAATTATTGTCTAAACAAGAGTTATTCTTCTCATGATCAAGAATCAATTCCTCAAAGTAATACTGTATTAGTAGTCTTTCCAACATCCTGTCAATTATGCATGGGTAACCAAGCAAGTTCAACATTGAATCATTGTTTATTGATTCCTGGAAATTAATACTCCGTAACATATAACAAAACACACAATGCTTCAGAACAAAGCAAAATATATCATAGGAAGACAAACTTGTATGTTTCTTTTGTCATAAAGGCAATCACCTACTAAAACTGATGCAGAAAACGTTATGTATGCAAATTAGCTCAACATTGTTGTGACACATGCATAATGAAGTCACGAACAAAAAAAATGGTGTCATAAAGGAGGCACCACATTTGCCACATTGCAGATTTCAAAGGCTTTTCCTAGTTGAAAACCACAGGAAATTTGCAGGGCAAACTTGAGTGTGTTTGCATAAGCAATCACCGTAACCTGTCTCCTTCAATTTTGTGAGTTATAAACTTGATCAATCATCACTTGGAAGAATTAGGCAACATCTAAGAGAGAATATAAAAAACTGCATTACCATACTAATGGCTTCAGTACTTGAGAGCTTTGGCAAGGCCCTGAAAATATTTTATGGGGTAACCCAATAAAAGAACAGAAGAAATCGAGAGGTGATACCATTACAACTAAAAATGATTAGCAAGGATAGACAACTCATTCTGCTTACAGATATATCCATTTTCATGCTAAAAAATATCAGTGAATAATTTGGAGGCACCATTAACTAAACCAGAAATTTTCTGTTTTCCATCAACAATTTCCGAGTGAAGCTCACAGGATTCCTCAAGGCATTAATTCTTATTGTAGGATTTGTTCCTACTTCTCTGAGCAAAGTGTCAGTTTCAAATTTGAGTATGGCATGCCATATGCTGATATGCTTATCACCTTCATTAGAAAGCAAGGATTTGATGCATGAAGCCAACTTTTAAGGTTTATTTCTTCACTACTTCTATCCTAATAAGTTTGTGAACAAAGAATTGACAGCAATTCATTATTGCATAGGGAAGCTAATAGAAAAAATATTAACTACTAATGGGTCATCAGGATGTGTTTCAGATGAGAAATAATGTTAACTACCAACAGGATTATTGATCTCCAACTTGCTAAGTGTATACTCCATACTAACACAAACTGAATGCCACCCCAAAACATAGAGTTTCTTTTCTCTTCTTGGTTTGCTGAAATTTTAACAAGCATACTAAAATGAATGGCACTATAATGCTATATTCAAATGGCCAAATCAGAAAACTATAACAGAAACCTAAGTTTAGCAATAATTGATAACCTTAAACTTCAAATTTGCCAAAAGAAGCATAGAGCAGAGACATTGTCAACTTAAAAGGGAAAAAAAAAAAAAAAAAAAAGGTTCAAAAATTTGTCTATGAAAGTCAAAAACCAAGACAGGAGCTTAAAAATTACGAGGCTTACCTGAAAAAGTTCAATAATCTGAAATGGGTCTACTCAATTTCCTGCAAAACAGAATGGTAAGCAGGCAAAGAAGTGCCCTTAGTGATAGGATCCATTTAATCTTCTAGGAAGCAAAAAATAATGGAGTATGTAGCCAAAACTAAAACCATCAAATAACCATTGTAGCATGATTATGGAGACCGAAATAAAAGATTAATTATTGCAACTACAAAGATAGAATGAAAAAGACACAATTGCTGCAAACTGTGCAGCAGAAAAGCTACAGGAAGATACATCAAGTCCAGTGTCAAGGAAACTCTACCTGGTTCCATACTACAAACATAAAGATGTAAAATCAAGGCTAGAGTTACAACTACAACAATAGAAATGCCAATAGTTCACTAAGCAGCCTTAACCTTATCCTCACCAACAACATTGAGTATAGGAAGACTGCTTAGGAATTCATCAAGACCCTCAAAAAATCCAATGCCTTCAATGTTATCATCCTCTCCCCTTCCTGCTCCGTTTCCTTGCCCATCCATCCCAGGTGGATGTTCTTCAACCTCATTACTAAACTCCACATTCAGATCCAACTTCCCATAGTCTTTGGCAATCCTCCCAGATTGTCTCCTTGTGTTACTCACAACACCTTTCTTACTTGACTCAGCTGCGAGACGAGCACCATTTTGAATTCGCAAACCATCTTGTGAATTTTCACCTGTGTTGCCTTTGGCATTCTTTCCCTTATCAGCCTGCTGTTTCGGAGTGCTTCTATTAGGAGTCAATGTCTTCATCCCTTTTCCCTTCAAGCTTTTTGATTTCTTCCTCTTCTCACCTCGCCAATCCTCATCTGATTCCTCACCTGAGTCTGATAGTCCTACAAGCACATCATCATCATCATCGTTATCATCAACATAAATCCTTGGAGTCACACTCTTATGACTAGCCCCACCCTTTGATGCCCCTACACTATTAAAACCACCAGAAGTGTTTCCACTCTTCTGCCCCATAGCAGCATAATTTGCACTTACCCTACTGGCGTCATTCCCCCCTCCATCTCGAGGACAAGTAAACATAGGTGAAAATGGACTCCAGCTTGTTGCTCGATCCCTATTTCTCTCCCAATTTGACACAGAAAACCCCAAGGGAAGAAAGCCCCAACAACAAAAGTAGGCTTCTTTCCCATCAATAATTGGAGGAGGTGATGAGATTGCTATAGCCTGAAATGCCATCTTGCAATTGCGACACCGCAACGTACAGTCGACATAAGCATCAGGGTACTCAAACATATGATAACAATATGGGCATGCAGTCCAGAAACTAGGAATGTCACTCTTAGGCTCTTCCACTCCAATTTCTTTATTTGCATTACCAATAGAACTACCAGAGAGATTGTGATTGGTGTTTCCTACAGAGCCCTCAGTTTGCTGCTGTGGCTGCTTGTTCCTTTGATGGTCAGTGGCGGGGCTTTGCAAGGGAGCAACTACCGGTGGCTGTTCGGAATGACGTTGGCTTGCCCCAAAGGAAATTTGCACTGGTTCCCTGCTCGAGCTCGGCATATAGGTCGCCGGCGGCTGTGGGTCTCTGTTCGCGGCAGGGACAGGAGTAACCGGCGGCTGTTGGTCTCGATTTAGAAACATTACAGGCTGCGGTTGCGGTTGCTGCTCTCTGCTCGAGCTTGGCTGCTGCATGGAGGTCACAGGTTGAACCGGGTCTCGAGAAAGAAACGTCACTGACTGCCCAGAGCTAATTGGCTGCTGTTCTCGACTACCAAAGAATATTTGCTGTTGCTCTCTGCTGGAGTTGGGGAAGACATTAAACGCACTGGGCTGCTGCACAGAAGATACCGTGTTCGGGGCAGAAGGAACCGGGTCCGGGTTGAGGTTTAAAAAGAACCCGAGCTCTTTATCATACAAGCTCTTCCTGAAAGGGTTTGAGAGCAACGACCATGCATCGACGACGAGGCGGAAGGCTTGATCGGCGAAGGAGAGCGTGTTCTTCTGGGGGTTGAGCAGTAGAGCGAGGCGGCGGTACTGATTGGCTATGAACTCGGAATCATGGCTCTGGTTGGGAGCCACTTGGAGGATGCCGTACCAGTCCAAGTGCTGGTTGTTGATCCGCTTCTCGCCGGCGAGTAGAGTGTCGGCGATGGCTAGGATTTGCTCCGCCTGTACGAGACTAGGGTCCGAATCTCGGGCCCGGGTCGCAAACGATTTGCACCCTACTAGATCACGATTGTTCAATAGCTTCTCCGCGATTGACAGCCATCGGATTGCCTCCGCCCGATTGGAGTTAGGGTTGATGAAGAACGGGTGCTCCATTTTCCGCCGGAATTTTTTGATTTAATCGGAAAAGTAACTCTGCTTTCTCCTTTGATTTGATTCCAAATGCGAAATGAAATGGTAAGACGAAGAGGAGAGCAGTGTATATTTTTGAGATGACCAAAGAGGGCACCGGGTTTTGCCAAAAAGACGGCCACGCGTGCATTGGTGTTTCGGCATAGTAGGGGTACTAAGGTAATTGCATTCAGCTCACACTGGATTTGTTTATGCGAGTCGATAGAGTGAATGAAAGAGTGAGCCAGCGAGCGAGCAAGTTAAATTGTGAAAAACCGTTTTTACTTTTTTTACCCAGTAATAAACTTTATCTAACGGCACCATTTTGAAAAGATAAAGGTAAAATAGATAATTAATACGGAGTATATTCTAAAAATAGTGCTCATATTCTTAACTTAAATGCACATTTAAATTACTTAAAACGTATAAGGGCATCCTTAAAAGCATTTTTTGGATTGTGTTCAAAAACAAAAAAAAAAACAAAAAAAAAAAAACATTTTTTGGATTAGAATAAATAATTGAGGGTTGAGTTTTTTTTTTTTTTTTTTTTTTGCAAAAACAATTTTTTTTTTTTTTTGTGTCTCATGGAAATAAACTGGTAAGAGTAACTTATAGGTGTGCATTGAATGTGTAAATATTCTTATTTTTTTAAAAAAATTGTTCTCATAATTTTTTTTATCTTCTCTCTTCTTTCTCTTTTCTACTTGTCACGGCACAAACCACAAAAATCTTCCATTATTGAGGTTGCTCTAATTTAACTATCATAACACACTTTTTTTTTTTTTGAATTGATATGATATTTTGAATATTAGACCCTTTTCTCTTCTTTTGTTTTTTTATTTATTTATATTGTTATGCTTTTATTTTTACTTTTCCTTCAATAAATTAATGTAAGTAGTACTAAAAAAAAGTGTCAAACGATTTGTAGTGTATTGCCAAATGATAACTTGTTCCATGTTACTCTTTTGGTTTACGACATTGAATTATCAATCAAAACTTGCTTTGATTTGAACGCTTAATTATTATTTTGGAATGATTTGATAATTATTTTATCGATATTAAATATATTAAAAAAAAGAATACAAATCTATAAATAGTTTTTTGTTTTGAAAAAAAATAATAATGATAAATAGTTTAACAAA